CTATATGTGGTTTTAAGTCCCTTAGTGTATGTTTAATGAAGTTGGGTGCACTGACATTGAGTGCATATAAGTTGATAATTGTCACTTCCTCTTGATGTATTGCTCCTTTTATTAGTATGAAGTAACCTTCTTTGTCTCTTTTGACTAACTTAAGTTTGAAGTCCACTTTATTTGATATAAGTATTGCTACTCCTGCCTGTTTTCAGGGGCCATTAGCTTTGTAAATTGTCTTCCAGCCTTTCACCCTAAGATAGTGTTTGTTTCTGTCAATAAACTGGTTCTCTTGTAGACAACAGATTGTCAGCTCTTCCTTTGTAATCCAGTTTGCCAAATGGCGTTTTTTGATGGGAGAGTTGAGTCCATTAACATTCAGTGTTAGTATTAGAGATATGTGGTGATTCCTGTGATTTAGTTGTTTTTGTTGTTTAAGGATTTGGGTGTGTGCCACTGATTCAGTGCTACACTCTGAGTGCTTTTCTGTTCTTCTGTGGTTTGATACTTCCTGTCCTTTTGTGGTTATGTTTGTTTTCATCTTCTGTGTGCAGAATTACTTGTAGAATCTTCTGTAGTGGTGGCTTAGTGGTTATACATTGTTTTAGTTTCTGTTTATCATGGAAGACATTTATTTCTCCATCAATTTTGAATGATAGTTTTGCTGAGTAGAGTATCCTAGGACTGAAATTGTTTTCTTTCAGTGCTCAAAATATATCACTCCATGCTCTTCTTGCTTTTAGGGTTTCTGTTGAGAAGTCTGCTGTTATTTTGAGGGTTTGCCTTTATATGTTATTTGTTTTTTCTCTCTTACAGCCTTCAATATTCTTTTTCTGTTTTCTGTGCTTATTGTTTTAATGATAATATGCTGCAGGTGTTCTATCTTGGGCAAGCCTGTCTGGTGTCCTGGAGGCTTCCTGTACCTGAACGAACAACTCTTTCTCAAGATTTGGGAAGTTTTCTGCTATTATTTTGTTGAATATATTATGAATCTCTTTGGCTTGCACCTCTTCTCTTCCTTTGATGCTCATGATTGGCAACTTTGGTCTTTTGATGGTGTTACTGAGTTCTTGTGTATTTCTTTCTCAGCATTTGAGTCTTTTGTCTAAGAGTTCTGCTGTTTTTTCTTTAAGATCTATTTTGTCTTCAAGTCCTGAGATTCTGTCTTCCACTTGTTTTAGTGTGCTGGACTGGCTTTCCCCTGTATTTTTATTTGATTTAAGGAACTTTTTATTTATAGGGTTTCTGTTTGATTCTTTTTTCTTAGGTTTTCCATATCTTTGTTAAATTCTTCTTTCATATCTTGTATTGTCTTCTTTATTTCATATATCTTTTTTATATAGTTTTCTTTGTTTCACTTTGGAGTTTGCTGATGTCCTGTCTGAATTAATTTAGTTGTTTCTGTGTCTCCTCAAGTTTTTTATTTGTGGTATCTTAATATTTCTTGAATGCATCTTGTACTTTCTGGTTAACCATGTCTTGTAGCTTCTCATGAGTTTCTCATCCATAATTTTCTCCTTGAGAGATTTTTTTTTGTGGGCATCATTGAGCTCATTGGTGATATTTATCATTGTTCTGCTGGGGTCAGGAACTAGGTATTCATTTTCTTCATTTCCCACTAAATCTTCTATTGTATTGTTGGTCTTTTGGGGGGATAGGATTTCCTGGCTTCCTTCTTCTCCCTATGCTTCTATGACATGGTATGCTCCTATGTTGTTGTGTGACTAAGTGTGGCTTTTCATCACCTGTTATCTTCCCCTTGAGTCAATTACTGTTCTATGACTGGCTTAGTTGTTAGTTAGGTTGATGTGCTATTTCTGTTCCTTGACTAGGCAGTATAAATTATCAGTAACAAATTCACTCATTCAATGCTGGACCAGTTATTTACAGAATATGTAGTGAGCCCCTTGGTGATATTATCTACAAGCCATGGAGATTGGGGGGATTTGGGTAGAGGTGGATACTTAGTATTGAAAAAGCTGGTGCTGGAGGAAGGGGCAGAAAGGGGGGATTGGGTGTGGGGGAGAGGCATGGGGGTTCTAGGGTACTTAGTCCCTAGTATGTGTTGAGGTGTAGTGCAGTCATGGAAGAGGGTGCTATTGTCGGGGACTGCTGAGGGATGGGAAGGATGGGTAGGATGTAAAGTTGTATAATAGACTGTTCTGTGGGTGGTGCATTTGGAGGAGGGCAAGGTAGTGGGCGGAGAAGAACGTGAGGAGGGTAAGAAAATGGAAAGAGATGAAAAAGAAAAAATTGCGGTAGAGAAAGGAAAGTGGCAATATAGAAGGTTGAGTGAGTTAGTGTTAGGACAGAATGGAGAAGGGATTTAGGTAACAGTAACATGGAAAAAATGAAGAAAATGAAAGTTAAAATTAAAAAATATATACAAAAAAGTAAAGTAAAAAAAGATATATATATATATTATCTATATCTATATCTAGATAGATAAATATATATATATATATATATATATATATCTTCTGATTTCAGGTTGAGGTGGTGATGCTTTTATTTTTTTATAGAGGCTTTGGCTAAGACTGTCCCTTTGACTGATTGGCATGTTGGGTTGAGTGGCAATGAGTGTTGCTCTTCCCTTTTGGACAGCTCTGGGGGGACTCAGCTCTGGGTGTTTGAGCCTGGGCTTCCTTAGTGGAGTGGGCTTCTGGAGCAGGCGGGTTCTCAGGAGTGGTCCTGTGATGGGTTGGTAAATGAGCAGTCACCAACCCCTTGCACCCACAGGGCAAGCCTGTAGAGATAAGCTTTTCTCTTGGTGAGACTGTCAGTTTCAGCCTGCTCCCAGTTTCTCCAAGGCAGTGAAGTGCCTGGCTTTCCCCACCAGGGGCTGCTGAGTCACCCCACTCCTGTATAGGCTTTTTCAGCTCCATGTTCTGCCCCTCTCCCTCAGGCAGAGGGGAAATATTCCCTACATGTATTTGGCCACCAGTTTTGTCCAGAAGGGGTGCAATCAGCTCCCCATCTGTGCTACAAAATGTGGATCCCTCCAAGACAGTGTGTTGCACTCACCTGGTGGGTTAGCAGATTCACTTGGCTGAAAACAGATCAGCTACAGGGCAGAGCAGATAGAGGTGTTGTGTCTGCTTGTGTTTGGCGGGTCCTGGTCTTCCCAGATTCTTGCAGCAGCTCTCTTTCTGTGGTTTTCTGCATCATGTTATTGTTGGCGAGGTTGCAGACACACTAAGGTGGAGAGAGATCTGCACAGGTAGGTAGTGGTTGGAGGGTCTGTGTCTGCACATAATGTGCCATTTTCTATGTTGTGTTTTAGCTTTACCAACCCAAGCAGGATGGAATTAAGAAAGAGAGAAAAAGAAAAGAAAAAAGAAAAGAAAAAAAAAAAGCCCAGCAGATTGGGTGAGACATTCTGACCCTTCCAGCTGTTCCCAGCTGGTGAACAGACAGGCGGGCCAGCAGCAGCTGCCTGACCCTGTGCTGGGCTGTTATGGGCTTTAAAAAGTTCATTTAAGTGTTGGTCAATGAATATGATGTGCCCTGTCTGTGTTGGCAGTATCTTGGTTGGTAGAAAAAGCATTACCTGATCCTTGCTGCCACAAAAATCTGGAGTAATTGTTTGAAATCATGCAGGTCACTGTTCCAGGGTCCCTCAGCTATTTGCTATCTTGATTTCTCTATGCTAAGCTTTAGAACAGAGAAGGAAAGTGCATTTGGGGTCTAATCCTACTCAAACTTGGGAGGCCAGGAAAACTTCTGGAGAAGTTGACATCTAGAATGAGACCTGAAAAGTAAGCACAGCTGCCCAGGAAAGCGGGGTGGGAAGATGAATGGGGGTTCCAGGCAAGGAGAAATGGAAAGGTGAAAGGCAAACAGCAGTGACCAAAGTGCTCCCCACGGCCAGTGTGTGGAGCACGAATGAGGCCTCTGTACTGGGCACAGGGGCCTTGGAAGACAGGAAGCTAGACTTTATCCTAAGATCAGTAGAAATACATTGGAAGGTTTTACTCAGAGTAGTGTGACAAGATCTGCATTTTGGAACATCTTCTTTGGTATTCGGATAGGAATAGCAAGGCCAGTAAGTGTTGTAGTTACTTAAAGGATAATTGTGGCCTAGAATTTTAAAAGATGCTAAATGTATCTGAGATCTATTTAGCAGATAGTGTTGGTGATTGATCCATTGACATATGAGGGGTCAAGATCACTCTGACCTGGTCATCTGGGTACTTTTAAGTAAACAAGAGAACACAGGTGGAGGAATTTGTTTTAGGGTGATGAATAGCTGAATTTCAGATGGATTGAATTTGTGGTGGATATGGTATGACACAGGGAAATGTCATTGAATCTAAAACTCAGATTTGTAAGAAATCGGTGTATAAATATATTGCAGGCATGAGTAAGCATCCCCCAGTGATTATATAGACTGAGAAGAGAAGATAGCCTGTGTTAGGACTTTCATGTGGGGTGAGCAGACAAAGAGGGCCCATAAATAACTGAAAAGGAAGAACTTGAGGGAGAAGCCAAGCCAGGACTGAGAAAGAGGGCATTTCAAGATGGAGGGAAGGTCAAACAAGAGGAGGACTAAAAGATGCTTGTTAGATGTGTGCACAGAAAGTCATTATGACTTTGGTGAGAGAAACTTCTAGAAACAAGCTTGAAGCCAGGCAGAGAAGTAGATGAAGGAGGATAGTGAGGAGGTGTGACTGAAGGATAGAAAGGTGCTACACATGCTGGACTGGTGGGTGGGATGAAGGAGGGATAGTAAAAACAGGGAGAACCTTGAATATGCGCCAGTGCTGGCTGGAAGTAGCTAACAGAACAGAGAAGACATATTGAAGTTTGGGGAGAGAGTGGGGAAAACCGAGTGACAGACAGTCATGAGAATGGGCTGGGATCCAGAAGAAAAACAGAGAAGTGACCTTAGTCAAAGGGACCAACCTCTTTTCCGTTGTGACAGAAGTGAAGGATGAGACAATTGGTTTATAAAGCATTGTTTTGTAGCACAATATTTTAATTATATTCTTTAAAAAATTTCTCCACAGACACTACCCCAAGCAGTCCTTCACAACAGTGGCAGATACACCTGAAAATCTTCGTCTGAAGCAGCAAAGTGAATTGCAGAGCCAGGTAATTTCTAGAAGGCCTATTTTATTATGATGATACTAAAGATTTTTCACAAGGCCACTCTTCTGAGATTTTTGTCATTAGTCATTGCGATTACCAGCCAGCATGGAGACTGACAGCAGGCCTGTTAGGACATTCTGGGTGAAGGTATTGAACATCTGTATTGTTCCTAATCTTGGATCATCCTGATATTCTTGATTCTGTTATTCACATGGGACTAGCACAAGTAAATGAGCCCTGGTCAGGGTAGATGTTTTTCAACAATATTGATTTATTTGGTCCTAAATATTTAAAAATATTTTACAAATAGCTTTTCCACACCACATATGTATGGGAAACACAAGGTGTTAGCTTGACCCAGTTGCATTGCATGTGAGGCTAACACCCTGTCTGTGTGCATCTCACACCAGCTTCGAGCTCTGTTTTCATCCTGTCACTTCATTCATATTTTTTTCATATGTCACAGTGACAGCATGAACAAAGATTAGAACACCACAATTGGCTCTCAGTCAACCATTTTGGATGCCAACTTGCCTTCAATATGGTGAAGCACACCGGCTATGACTAGGGATTTGAATGCAAGATTTTCTACAGGGATATCCAGTCTCATTACAAAACACAGGATGCCCTCTCAAAGAAGTTCCCTTGCCTGGCATGTGATTGGAAGATGCAGGATAGCTCCATTGCAACTCACTGGTCATTGGAGTAGTAAAACCATACCAAGAGGGAGGAGGGAGGGCTGTGGGCCCCTTTCAGCTGTCCATTAATTGTGACCTTGGGCCAGCTATCCTGATTCTTTTGCTTCTATAAAGGAGACACTCTGTCTTGTCTACTGTCTTGAGGTGACTGGAAATATCAAATGAGGTAGGTAGGTAGGAAGCATTTTGGAAAATTAAAAAATCTTTGAGAAGGCTTATGATGATGATGGTTCCTAAAAATTCCTGGCATAAAAAAGGCAAGAGTAGACTTTGTGAAGGGAAGGGGGGTCTAGCTAATAATATTTAGACATATCAGTCTGGATGGAGTTCCTTCTTCATGAGAGTCATTAACTTTCAGTTGCTCAGGATGCAATTATTTCCTCAGTGGTTCATCCATTCATGGGAGATGATGGCTCCCTGCTTCTCTGTGCAACTAGCAGCTCTTCTTAGCTCACTTAATTATAGGAACTGGAACTCAAAGTAGAATTAACTATTGGTTATCACCATGAAGACTTGGTTGGGAGCTAATGCTTGGTTTGTGTAAAATGCTGTGTGTGTGTGTGTATGTGTGTGTGTGTATGAAGCCATTAGTTCCAAAATTGTGTGCTGGTCAAAGTCAAAGAGAGACACCATTATGGAGGCCAACAAGGACATTCACACCACTAGGGTCAGAGGGCATGGCTCATCTGTGCAGATCCAATCTGCCTTTCTTTTCATCAAGTTAGTGTTAATCAGATAATTATGGAGAAGTACTCCAATCATATTGAAAACCAGAATTAAGTCAAGCAATTAGGCCTGGAGGTGTGGCTCAAGTGGAAGAGCAGTTACCTACCAAATGCAAGGCCCTGAGTTCAAACCTTAGTACTGTAAAAAAACAAAAAAAAAAAAAACAAAAACAAAAAACCAAAGTCAAACAATCAAGTGCTTGTTTCTTGCTTTCTACACACCCTGGTACTATATAAAATAATTTCTAATTAGTTAAACCTCCCTTCACTGAGCCTACAGTGCTGTGAGGATAGAGGAACACACATGCAAATGACTAAGTTTAATAGACAATTCAGCCTCAGAGAGGAAAGATCTGTGTGGGCTGGGCTGGAAGTGCTTCTTGCTAGAGGTGGGATTTGAGTAGAGCCTTTGAGGTCAAGATAGATTCTGATATAAACACTGACTCTGTCCCTTTGAGCTGAGTGAGTGGCAGAGGTGCCTTCAGCCCAGCAAAGGAGCCAGTGTTAATTGGCTTCCTGTCATACACTTGGCTTTGGAAATGCAAAGAAAATAGGTCACTGTTGTATTAAAGGCTGGCTTCATTTTCCTCATGTAGCAAGCTGCAAGAGGAAGCAGCTATTCAGATGATGGTATTCTCATAGGATAAGAGCTCAAAGAGTTTGGAGCAGAGCACTATGGGATCACCAAGCAGTGGTCAGTTGTCAGCACCAGATTCTCTTTAAGATTTTGCCCAGATGTACTCTTCTCTACAAAGAAAATGGAGGACTTCATCAGGTAGGCAATGTGGTGAAATTCTACTGAGTTTGTGAAGTATGAATTGATTAATGCTTTGGGCAAGAAATTATATGGGGCACGGGGCTATAAAGACATCATCACCATCGTCAGCAACATCACTGTATTCCAGACACATGCTTTACATCTTCTATTCATTAACTCTCAAACAACCCTGTGAGATAGATATTTGTTACTATCCCTATTTAGATGAAACATTCAACTTTAAGAGACTCTAAATAACTTGCTCTTATGGAGGAACAGATTCTGGCCAGGGGGAAGGTGGCAGGGAAAGGGATAGGAGGATGAATATGGTGCAAATAATGTATACATATGTATGTAAATGTGAAAAAAGATACCTGTTGAAACTGTTCTAGGAACTGGGGAAGGGGGGTGAAAGGGAGCAGTGGAGGGGGTGAATGCAAGTATGATATATTTGATACTTTGTAAGAACCTTTGTGAATGCTACAAGGTACCCTCACCCAGCACAAGGATTAAAAAAGAAGAAGAAGAAGAAGAAAAAAAAAAAACAAAAAAACTTGGTGTTGCAGGCTT